CCTAGATGAGCTCCAAATAGGACCTTTGGATCTTTTTAGCCAAAATACTGTCCAGCAAACGGCTTGCCTATGAATCTTACCTTAATGCAATCAAACTTGTGAAGTGGTCAGGAAATTTGTGCCTGCAGGCTGGTCTATCTAAATTGTCCATGCTAAGGTTTTCAATTTAATCTGTGTAGATGAGAAGAGTAAAGAAGAAAACTTAGCTTAGCCATTTTTAATGCTTTATAAAAATAAGAATGAAAAGATGTGTATTAGTACTGTCCATATATATGTTGGCCACACGCATGCACGCATACGCTGGGGAACAGGCACACACGTGTGTGTGCACACCCAAGGTGGAAGAGGCGGCTAGTTTCCTGTTCCCCAGGGAGTGAGTGCAATCTCTGACCACAGGAGATCCATAACAAGAAAAAAAGGAAAACTGAAAATGACACTTAAAATTTGAACAGAAGAATCACACTCCTCGGAGGAGGAGACATTGTGGGAGGATCCTGTGCCATGTCAAATGGCCACACACTCAGCCGGTCCTCGAGGACAGTGTCTAGTAAGTTGCCAGGAGGTGTTGCTGTGAAAATGACTGTCCAGACACCTGGTGGCCTCAAAGGGTTCAGGCCATCTTGGCTGCTATTCACACAGGAAAGCGGTGAAACTAAGCAGGGTCCTTTTCTGGACTGGCAGCCATTCATGCTTCCTCCTCGATCATCCCTACGTGTATCCAGCACTACATCCTCTGTGTTTTACCTTCCAAATGGCACCCCCTTCCATCCCCTCCTCTCCACCACCACTGCTCCCATCCTGGTCTGAGCCACCATCACTGCCCTTTGCCTAAATGATGAAACAACCTCCCTGCACCATCCCCGGTTCTTCTCCAGCCACGTCTCCGCAGAGCAGCCAGAGCATTTGCTTGCAAATTCAAAACAGCTCCAGTAGCTCCTTGCGTAAACTGTGCAGGGTCTCGACCAACATAAAATGCCGAGACCAACATTTTTAACCTATCCCGTAAGGATGAATGGTCTGCCCCCTCCAGCCTCTGCATACGTATCCTGCACCCTCTCTCCCACCCCACCCCAGCCCCGCTCCTCCACAGTGAGAGAACACTGATCTTCTTATTTTTATTTTTTAAAGTTTAAATGTACCAACCTCTTTCACATTGCAGGGCCTTTACACAGCTGTTCCGACTTTTGTAGTGGACAACTACACGTCCTTCAGGACTCAGCTAGAATGCCACCTCCCATGGGAAGCCTTCCTAATCCCCTGATGGACTGGGCTAAATCCCCAGAGTGGTAGCTTGTATTTTCCAAAAGTGGTCATGGCATTATTTCCTGTTCCCTGTGCTGTTCCAGAACCTGGTCCTTCTGGGTTCCTGCACCCAATTCCAACGTGTGCATCCTTAGGAGGGTGTTTTCTTGTGCACAATGCCAAGCAATTCTCGAATACCAGCGGTGCCCGAGAATTCAGCTCAATCCTGACACTACCTGCCCGGAGACAGCACCAGATATCCCTCAGGTTAAGGGCTCCATCCTACAAGACTGCCTTCCACCCCCGACTCCAGATGCCAGTCTCGAGTCTCAGGCTGTTACTTGTGCTTCTGACGGACCAACTACAGATTGGAAATTCCAGTGACCCCCTCCTTCGGTTCCATTAATTTGCTAGAGCAGCTCACAAAACTCAGGAAAACACACTTATGTTTACCAGTTTAATAAAGGATACTGTAAAGGATACAAGTTAACAGCCAGATGAAGAGAGACACAGGGCGAAGTACCAAATAAAGGAGCCTCTATCCTCTGGAGCTTGGGCTGGACTGCATGGCATGCGGAAGTGTTCTGGCACCCCAAGTGTGGAAGCTCTCTCTGAGACGGGCAGGGTGCCTAAGGGAGCAAAATCCTCTGCTCTTGAATTTTGCAAAGGCTTCATTGCATAGTCATGATTGACTAAGTCACTGGCCATTGGTTGATTCAACCTCCAGCCCCAGCCCCTCTGCCCTCTCTCCCCTCCTAGGGGTTGGAGTCTGAGGGCTGAGTTCCCACCCTTTTAATTGTATGCTCGGTCTCCCTGGCAACCAGCTCCTGCCCCTGGGTGGGGTTCAAAGGTCTCTCTGTTAATATAACAACACATCCGTTTCACCTTTTGGCTCTGAAGCATTTTTAAGAACTATGGATGAAGACCAGATAAAATAGAGAAATATATTTTGGTCATTTGATTGATCAAATGTACATTTCTTATAAATCATTATATCACACCTGGTCACTTCTAGGATCTGGAGTCTGTTTACCCTCCTTTTATTTTAGTTTATTTATTTTTTTTAGTTGAAGTAAGTTGACATGTTTGCCCCCCTTTTGAACTTGGGAGGGACTCTGTAAAAGCTACAATAAAGAGAATGCAGTGGAAATAGTCGGCCCCTCCCTGCTTCTGACCTGCAGATAAGGGGGGAGACGCGATGAGATATCGAAGATCTGAAAGGACCAGCCATGGGACTCGAGGCTTAACCGCCCAAGAGTGGTGCTGAGAGGGCACCCTTCGTGTTTATTGAGCAAATAAATGTTAACGACAACAGAATTCTGTGGGGGGGGGGGGCTTGATACGCAACCATTAACTAACTCTAAACTTAGTCTTCGGCAGTCTTCAGTCTCCTGGGGCGCGACGTCTTACGTGGCATTGAAACAATAGCAAGGGCAATTCGGTCATGGAAACTGTTTTGGTCTTGTTTGTTCTGTTCTTGATTACGTATCAGGAATTACAGGAAAAATAACCAAGTCATATATATTTATACATTTTATTTCTGTATTAACCCCACAGAGAATGATTCTGTTTGACTTCTGAGGTAGGATTGGAAAAGGCCGTGGCATGCACCTGGCTTGCCTGCTGCTCTCAGGGCAGTTGTTCTTGCAATGAAGCTGCCATGTTGTGAGGAGGCCACATGTAGGTGCTCCTGGCAGTAGCCCCAGCACGGGTCTCAGCCTACAGTGAGCAGCAACTGACAGACGCCTAAGTAAGTAAACCTTCAGAGCCTTCCAGCCCTGGCTGTCCAACCACTCAGCTGACACCAGGGGACCAGGCATGGCTGGCAAAGCTGCCCAGTTTGCAGATTGGAGAGCGACATCAACGGTGCTGCTGTTGGACCCCCAAAGATCAGGTTCTTGAGTTTCAGTGTTATAGACATGAACACTGAGCTTGAAAAAAAAGAAAGCAGGCCGAGCTTATTAGAGATAGCTTGTGTACAAGGGAGCAGACAAGAAAGAGGGATGTCGCATTCCTCAAGGGTGTTGTGCGTAAGGCTTATAAAGGCAGTTTCAGAGGGTGCAGGGTCGGGAGGAATTACGGATGGATCGTTTCGCGATGTCCTTTCCCTCACTCAGCTTCTGTTACCACCACTTCATGGCCAGTAGAAGCCGACTCACCGGCTTTCCCAAAACATGGTCAGGAACCTCCCTTTCTGGTGTTTTTATAAGATAAGCGGACATGACAGAATTTTTAAAATAATTTCTCTCTCTCTCCCAATGCAACAATTCTCCCTGCGAAACAGGGACTGGTCATTGATCCTTGGGAGGGTTTGCTCTGGCTTAAGACATGGTCGGTTGCTTGTTGACTATATGGCTGGATTATGGCTTAACATAAATTCTTCTTAAAAGACACTTTGGGAATTTTTATCTTTTAACCTATAAGCCCCAAGATGGAGGTTTAATTCAAAAGGGAAATCCTCTTGCTCTTCCCTGTGGTGGCTTGCTTTCATTGTCATTTTTAAGCCTCTGATTCTTGGGGGAGGTCTGTTACACAGCCACAGTAACTGGAACATAGTAACTGATACACACGGTGCCTTCTCTTTCAAGTATCTATTACAGCTGAAACTTTATGATTGTGTGTGTGTGATTATTTGATTCCCATCCTGCTTGAAAGACAAAGTTTTAGGAGAGCAAAAGCCTTGTCAGTTTTGTTCACCATCTTATTTCTGCCTGGCAAATGATGCACTCATTCCCAACATAGTCTCAGCTTTCCTGCACCTCATCACATTAAAAGACATGGCATTTGATTGGTTGTTCATTCATTTGATAAATACTTATTGATGTGGCTCTGTGTCAGGGATTTGTGTTCAAGGAGAAGCACAAAAAGAGAGGATGTCTGAGGGATTGTAGGAAGGCAGAAGAGGGGTCAGTTAGGCTGTGTTTTGAAGAGACAGAATGGGCTCTGGCAAGGGAAATGTGTGCTGATGCATGGGGCCAGGAAGCAGCAGGATGAGTAGCACTGACAATCTGCACAGCGAGAGGATGGGTAGAAAATTCTGCAAGAAAAGGTTTTAAGGGCCAGGTTTTCATGGCCTTCAATGCTGTGTGGAGGTGTTTAGATTTCATCTCAGGAGAAATGGGAAGACAGGGTTTGATCCCAGTTCTTGATAGCACTGGGGCGGAAAAACTGGTTAGGATGCTCCTGTACTGCTCTGGGGCGGGGGGGAATGGTAGAGGCAGGACTAGGTAAGTGAAGATAAGTGAAGAGCCATTTCGCAAAAATTCACGGGCAAAAGGCCCTGGGTCAGGGTGCTAGGGGCCATACCCCATTGCCACATCAACCGTACATATCAGGGGACCACAAACATGTTTTAGTAAATACATCAGGCTCTGCAGATCTTAGAATCTGGTGCAGCTACTTACCTTGATGCTGTAGGGCAAAAGCAGCCACAGACAGGTAAATGAGTGGGCATGCCCGTGTGCCAATCAACTTTATTTTACAGTCACTCAAATTTGAATGTCAGAATTTCCATCCGTCACCAAAGAGTGCTCTCTTTTGCAATTTTTCCAACCTCAAAAGATGTGAGAACCGTTCTGAGCTTGCTTGTGGGGCCGGACAAAAGCAGGTGGCAGGGCTTGCTCGGCTCACTCGCGCCGTATAAGGCTTTCGTATTTTCGACTTCAAGGGGAGGATCCCCGGAGAGAGTCCCTCCGGAGCTCCGCCCCCGAAGCGTCGCCAAGCCCCGCCTCCAGCAGGAAGCTCGCGCATGCGCGGCCGGGCCCAGGGCGGGGGCGGGGCGGGGCCGCGGCTACGACTTCCAACATGGCGCACGCTGGCGGCGGCGGCGGCGGCGGCCCCGCAGGCAGGGGGCTGAGCGGCGCCCGCTGGGGTCGCGCGGGCTCCACAGGCCACGAAAAGCTGCCGGTGCACGTGAGTGGCGCCCCCGGTGTCCCCCGGAGAGTCCGTCCCCCGGCCTTCAGCAGGCCGACGCTCCTTAACCGGCCCCGCCCGGCCCCAGCCCCGGCCCCGCCTCGGCCTCCCCTCCGCACCGCCCGGGACCCCCGACGCGTCCCCTCCGCCCCTCGGGGCCCCGGTCCGCGCCCCTGAGCCCCGGAGCCCCCCGCCCGCCTGCGGTCCCCTCCGCCTCCCGCCACCCACCGGGACCCGCCCCTTCCCCGCAGGTGGAGGACGCCCTCACCTACCTGGACCAGGTGAAGATCCGCTTCGGGAGCGACCCCGCCACCTACAACGGCTTCTTGGAGATCATGAAGGAGTTCAAAAGCCAGAGGTACCCGCGGGGCCCCTGCCCCGCCCGGGGGGCCGCCCTGGGCCGAGGCCCTGTCCAGCCCCGTGGGAGCCCCCGACCATCCGAAACCAGCGGATCGGGTGACCTGACGCAGGTCCTGGGCGCTCCCGGAGCCTCAATTCCCCCTTCGAAAGCACGGGAGTGGGGACGACCCCCCTGTGGAGCTGCTGCGGGGGTTCCTGGCAGGAGGGCAGGAACGGGGAGAGGCCGGAAAGGGGGGCAGGACGCGCGCAGAGCCGGATTCCGCCTTCGCTCAGAATGTAGATTGTTAAAATGATTTTGTTCATCCAGGATTTTTTTTTAAGCACCTCATGAAAATGTTTATCTTGGTCACTGAGTGTTTTGGCACCTTCCCCTCCTAAACTCTTGTCCCCAAGGTGAGTGGGTGCCTCCTCAGCCTCATCCTGGTCCCAGGCCTGCTCTAAAGTCAGGAGCATGAAACGCTGGGTAATGGACCTGACTCCTAGAAAGAGTGGGTTAGAGATAGATTGGGGGGTTCACAATTGTGCCCGTGTCTGTCAAGAGGCTCCCTTAGACTTAAAGTGGGCCAGGGGCTTGCCCAGAGCCACCATAGGGGCAGAGGCAGGACCAGACTTGGTTCCACCGACTCTTAGAGTCTCTTGTGGCACATCCCACCATGCTGCTTCCCTTCTGAGGAAATAAGGCAGGACCAGCCGGCCTGGTTTCCTTTCAGGGGCACCCTACAGAGGCCCTGGGGCTCTGAGAGCCACCATGAGGAGGCCCTATCTCTCCCCGAGCATTTGTATGCAGCGTATTTGCAGGGCCTTTGATTTTTAGGCCTTGCTGTCCATTGCTGGGATTGGTGTCTGTATGATGGCTAATCCCTAAGTCAGACAAACTGAGGGGATTCATTACATCACTTGGAGGGCTTTGGCCTCCTGCCACTTCTTGGAGTCCAGGACTTGGAGTTGGCCCTCCTGACGTTTTCAGAACTGAGCCCTCGTGCTTAGCGTATTCTGTTCTGGTGAGCTGTGCCGTGTAAATATTCTGTGGTCTCCCCAGGAGGTGAGACCTTCTGCTAAGGAAGTAGGTTCCCTTTGGCAGAATCACACTGCTCAACTTTTAGGGTGTTTCACTGTCCACTGGAGAAGCTTGTTAGGTGGCATTGCCAGGGGTGTGGGGAGTAGATTTCACTTTTTATTTGCTCCCTAAGATGCTTGCCCACTCCTGTTCTTCGTTCCAGCATTGATACTCCTGGGGTCATCCGACGTGTGTCGCAGCTCTTCCATGAACATCCTGATCTCATTGTCGGATTCAATGCTTTCCTTCCCCTCGGATACAGAATAGACATTCCCAAGAATGGCAAGCTAAACATCCAGTCACCTCTGTCGAGCCAGGTATGCTGCCGCAGTATGGGGAGTGATCTGGCCTTCGGCAGCCCGCCCTCAGGCTGGGCAGCAGTCTCCTGTATTGCATTGCCAGAGGCCAGTGAAGAGCTGATGATCTTCTACATACCAGTTGCTTCTGCCACAAATCAAAATAGATTGAAACGCTGACACGGGCAGGTTCTACATCCCAAATTCATCCATTTTGGAGGCTTTAAATCAAGAGAGGATGTGTTTGTGTGCATCAGAGAGGCATTCTCCTTTTATGTCCAGTTGAAATAGCAGCAGCCAGACCAGCCACATTTGTACCTGGGCATGAGGTCTCTGATCATTCTGGGTGCCCCTCGACCAAGCAGTGGCCGGGACGCGTGGGTGGATACCTACCGTGGTCGTCGGTGTGCGCATTTAGTCACCATGAATTCGGCTCCCCACTTGGGTGACAGCTTGCTGCCTCCTCTGTGTCTGCTCCCTTCTTGCTAACCCCGCAGACCCCCTGAGAAAATGAAAGCCTACTAGAGCTAGACTTTTAGAAGGTAACCACTGTCTTTTCCTCCCTCTGGGCCATGTTGTCATTTGAGGCATAATACTTCTCTGCAGGGGATTGTCCAGTGCATGGGGCTGTCTCCACCCACTAGGCCCTCGCCCTATGGACACAGCCAAAAATGTCCCCAGACATTGCCAAGTGTTTCCTCGGAGCAAAATTGCCCCCATTGAGAACCAGGGGTCTGAGTGAACTACCTCTTCCAGCCTCTTCATCTCTGCCTCGGGTTTTAGCAGGGATGTAAAATTCTATCCCAGGAAGCATTTTGTAGGTTTCTTTTCTGATGAAGTCAGTTGCAGTGTTGTATCCATTAGGGAGTCAGATTTGGAAGGAGAGCAGTGGGAGGCAATGATACGGCGACTGGCCCCTGCTGAGGGGGACCCCATGTAAATTCTGCCTTTTTCTGTACATGAGGCAAGCCTCACCACAGGTATGTTGTCTTTTTAAAGCCAAGGAGTGCATCTCCCTTTATTTTTCTTGCTTAGTTTTTCTTTTTTTCTTTTGGTATCGTTAATATACAATCACGTGAGCACCATTGTGGTTACTAGATTCCCCCCATGATCAAGTCCCCACCACATACCCCATTGCAGTCACTGTCCATCAGTGCAGTAAGATGCTACAGAGTCACTACTTGTCCTCTCTTTGCTATACTGGCTTCCCCATGCCCCCTTTCCCCTCCACATTATGTGTGCTAACCGTGAGTGCATCTCACTTTTAAAAAAGGAACTTGTAAACTCAGCTCCAAAGAGCTTCCATTTTACATTTGCAAATGGAGCTCCAGGATCCAGATGTCACGCTAGTGCCTCCAGATGATGAAAGCCTTGGCAGGATTAATCTTGGGAAGTCATGGCCGGGAAAGAAAACCAAGCTCATTTGTAGCAGCAGAGCACTTGTCTGAAACACCAAGTAAGCCACGGGCGGTGTTGCCATCCTGCACGAAGGAGACAGAGTCGAAGATCTGACTTGCTCCCCACATGTGGAAATGACCTTTCTCAATCCCTGACTGTCAGTTTCTCCACACTGGGGACCAGATCTCAGCATGAACCGCACCACGGACTCGTTTGGAGGCTGCCCTTCCCGAGAATAGCCCCAAGGCCCCTGCTTTTCTCTGCACTCCGAGGGGTGCTCTTATACTGCTAACAAGACCAGCCCAGTCTGGTGAGGCCAGCCATTCCTGTGTGGCTTGGGTGGCAAGGGTCCCCTGACTCCACGGGGAATCTCCCCTAATGGCTACCTTGCAGGGCTTTACAGTCTCTCAAAGCCCAGAAACCACCACGTCCAGGGCCCCTTCCTCAGCTGTCCACTTGGTATCCGTCACCATCAGCCGACCAGGCCTGCTTCTCCCCAGCCTTTCACGCCAGGCCCCGAGGAGATGCCCTCTTGCCTTCCTTGAGTCCTGAGAGGCCACTATAGCCTGGGAACCTCACAGCGCCCTGCATGCACCAGGGCCCTGGTGGTCTTTTTTAATGGGTTTTTCTAGCTTCACTGTTCTGAAGTGCTGCTTTATTTTCATTTTTCCTTCCGTCAGCTGCAGACTGGGAGGGAGTAGCTCCTTGGTGCTGAGGAAGAGAGAGGAGGCCCAGGCTTTGGGGAGCCCCTCGCACAGTGTTCTCTGCCTTGGCACTTCTGCTGCTGGGCCAGACGATTCATTCTTGTGGGCACCACACTGCATTATGGGATGCCAGGCAGCACCCCTGTTCTTCCACCAGATGCCGGTAGCTCCCCCAGCACGACAACCTAAACTGTCTCCAGACTTCACCAAGTGTTTACTCAGGGGCAGAGTCACCCCAGTTGAGAGCACTAGTCTAGAGGGGAGGGGGGCCAGGGGTGCATGGCAGGAAGGCAGATCCCTGCAGGGGCTGTGGCCCCCATGTCCCCGATGTTTCACAGCTGGTCATCTGGGTCTCAGTGGCTACATCACCTCCTCAGCCCGCACTGCACCTGCAGGTTATCCTCACCCTGCCCCATTTCATCTATTTTGAAACAGTAAACGGAGGAAAAGGGAAGAAAAATACACTGTTTTATGTTGGTTTGCCCTCCCTGGCAGACTGAGTCCTCCCAATTCAGCAGAATCCTCATCTGTCTTGTTCACAACTGTGTCCCTGCCCGGGACAGTCCCAGGCACCTGTTGGAGATGCCAGACCTGGATATTAGTGGGAAAGTGGGGAGTCTCCGCTCCTGGGTCCCGTTCAGGGCAGACCCTGCTTCCTGGGAGCCAGCCCTTAAATGGCTGGCTGGGACAAGGGCTGGCTTGGACACAGGCAAAGAAAAAGTCTTTAGGTGTACAGCTTGTGATATCGGTGATTCCGTAACGTACAAAGGAAGGCCTCTTTCTGCTCTCTGGGAGAGGGTCATTCGGATGTCCAGGAATTCCTTGTAGGTCACCACTTCTGTTTTTATCTTATATTTGTAAACCACCTTCTCCAGGCCAGGCCCTGGGGTTTATTCAGAGGCCTGGCTTTCAGAGGGTGTGTGCAGTAAAGGTAGGGACTTGTGAGATTCAGATGGACGGATAGGAAATAAGTGACAGTGTTCAGCGTGGTGAGCAAAAGGTGGTAGGGGGCAGAGTTTGTGGAGCTGCCAAGGGCAGATGCTGCATGAGATGTGGGGGCCACACCTTTGTCTTCAGCGGGAGTAGGGGGAGGTGGAGGTGGGGGTGTCCCCAGTGGGGTTGTAGAGGCCTGAGGTGGCGATGAGTGGTTGTGTGTGAGAAACAGCCAGGAAGCTGGTGGGATTTGGAGCAGAGGGCTAGAGAGCGAGGCAGGAGAGTGGGAAGCCAGTGGAGATTCCGGAAAGGTCCCTCTGACTGGGGTGCTGGTAATGGACTGAGTGGGCAGGAGTGGATCTGGGGAGGCACCCAGGCAGAGTGGGTGGTAACACAGACCAGGGCGGAGTGTCGGTGAGAGTGAGAAGCCGGGAGATCCCAGGATGCCTGAGCTTCTGGGTGAAGGTGCAGCCCCTGGGGGTTGTGGGGCAGGCGGGGGGCTGCCCTGTGTCTGGAGTGTGCCCCCTCATAAGGGGTCTCTAGTTTCTGGGTGGGGTTGTGTGTGGGCACTCCCAGGCATGAATTGGCTGTGCAGGGCAGCCCATCAAGGTCTGGGAGGTCTTTCTAAAAGTGACCAGACCAGGCCACCCAGGGCGGACAGAGATGAAAGAAGACTGGATTGTTCCAGAACGTTGAGAGCAGGGGTTCACTCATGACCTAAAGCCAGCTTGTGTTTCTGTTGCTGGTGGCTTTTCCATTTTCCAAAGATTACCTAAAAAAATGTCTCTAAAATAACAAAAAATTCACGTTTTCATTTTATGACCATTTAAAGTGTGCAGTTCAGTGGATTTTAGTATATCCACAGTATCTTGCAACCACCACCACTAATTTTAGAATATTTCTGTCACCCCCAAAAAGAAACCGGATCTCCCCAGTTCTCCACTCTCACCAGCCCTTGGCGACCACTAACCCACTTTCTTAATCTAGATTTGTCTGTTTGGGGTATTTCACCTAAGTGAAATCGGCACGTACATAGTGTTCTGAGCCTGGCCCTCCCTCCGGCATGGTGTGTCCGAGGTTTACCCTGCGTTGCAGTGTGCGTCAGGGCTCTGTTCCCTCTACAGCCGAGTCCTGTTCTGCTGTGTGCATGGACCCCATTGTGTGCGTCCGTCTCATCTGCTGATGGACCTTTCGGTTGTCATACCTTTTGGCAGTTGTGACTAGTGCTGCTGTGGACGTGTGTAGAAAGATTGGTTTGCACGGCTATTTTCAGTTCTTTGGGCAGATGCGTCAGCGTGGACTTGCCCGGTCACGTGATGACTGTGTTTCACTTACTGAAGAACTGCCAGACTGCCCAGCATGGTGGTGGCCCCATTACTGTCTGGCCTTTTTGGCCAAGCCCTGGTCTGTAGGGGTGGATCCCCATCTTGTCACAGAGGCTCATTCCAGGGCATCAGAAGCAGCATGTGCTGCCTGAAAATGCCCCTCCTGGTGAGCACACAGCCCCCACCTACGCCCCGGCTCCTCCTCATTCCTTCCACGGCCGAGCCTGCACACCCCAGAGGGACATGGTCATCAGTGGGCGCATCCCCAGAGTCTCTCAGAATAAACGCCACTGCTTGGAGGGAAATGGTGTTGAGAATTGTGGCTGTTCTGGATCTTCTGTGACTGTTTTCCTCAGCTCAGATTTCCAGAATCACCTCGGTTGTGGGCTGAACTGTGTCCCCCTTCAGTTCTCATGTTGAAGTCCTGACCCTCAGTGCACTGCAGTGTGACTGTATGTGGAGACGGTGTTTACAGAGGTAATGAAGGTAAAATGAGGCCCTTAGAATGTCGCTGAATCCAAGCACCTGTCCTTAGAAGAAGGGGAGGTCCGGACCCAGATACCCAGGTGTGTGGCTCAGAAGGATGGCCACGTGAGCACACAGGGAGGAGATGGCCGTCTGTGAGCCAGGAGGCCTCGGGGGACCGGGGTCCTCTTGGCAGCTTGGCCTTGGACTTGCAGCCTCCAGCGCTGTGAGGAAATAAGTGTCTCCTGCTAAGCTGCCCAGCCTTCAGTGTTCGGTTGTGGCAGCGCAAGCAAACTGGTACATCTGTCCAGGCGGTGGTGAGTGTGCCCGGTAGTCACCGTCCCATCGGAGGCTGCAGGCACCTCGTGCCGGGGACAGTGTGGCCACCACGGGCGGTGGAAACAGTGGGCGTGTTTGTCCTCTCTTCCATTCACCTGTCGTCCCCAGGAGTGGGTGAAGTGTGCTCTGTCCCAAGCACTGTCCCGGGCCCCGGCCATACAGCAGTAACAGAACAGTTTGCCCTGATGGCGTTTGCCATCTGGCCAGGGGTGAACAGATAATGAAATAGGTAAAATATACTGCACGCAGGAAGGCGATAGGTGCCGTGGAGAAAAACAGCAAGAAAAGGGCTCGGGGCGCTTTTGGTTTGGTGCAGGATGGTTCCAGAAGACTTGCTGAGATGGTGTCCTAACAGAGATCCAGGGCAACCCTGACAGCTAAGTGCTGTCTAGGGAATAGACTGTCATCAGAACTGCTTGTACTGTTCCAGTTTAGAAACAAACACCGCCTTCGGGAGTGTGACCTGTCCCACTGTGAGTTAGTATTCCACGTGCACAGAATAGAGCCATGCGTGTCTGTTGTCTGTTTTTGTTTGTGCTGACAGAGAAGCCCACAACAGTGGGGCATGCTTGGTGACTGGTCAGGGCCTGAATCTTTTCTCTCAAGTGACTTGTCCAGGGCTGCGTGCCCGAAGTCCCACAGTCCTGGCAACCTGGGCGGTGGGCGCCCCTCTCCTTCAGAGTCCCAATTTTATACACCCTGACTTAACCATTGCTCTGACAGCTGGTGCTCTCACACCTGAAAAACGGTGTTGCTGAAACGGGCTGGCAGAAAGCGTGGGAAGACTTCTGACAAACAGCCCAAAACTCCACTCTGAAAAAGGCTTAAACAATCCACTTGTAAATTTCTCCTGAATGCTGATTTCTTAAAATGTAGTGTACATCAAACTTTAGTGTTCTCTGAATCGCTTCAGAAGGCTCAGGCGGAGATGAGCTTGTGAGGCTCTCTGAGGAACGTGCAGACACGCAGACTACCGAGGGAAGAGCTGTCTGCACATGCTGTGTGTGGCCCCCCTGCTGCCCCTCTCCTGGCCCCCAGAAGAAATCTCCCCCTGCACCTAATTAAAAAGCTTGGCTCTGTCCTAGCTTTCCCTTGTTCCCATACGGACAGCAGCTCTGCCTGGCATTTCTCACAATCTGTTCCCCACGTCAGGCCTGACGGTAACTCACTGTCCTGTTGTCAGGAGAATTTGCACAACCACAGTGACTGTGCCGAGAACTTCAAGCAACAGATGCTGTATAAGGAGGACAAGCCCCAGGTGCCCTTGGAGTCGGATTCTGTGGAGTTCAACAATGCCATCAGCTACGTGAACAAGATTAAGACCCGCTTTCTAGACCATCCAGAGATCTACAGGTCATTCCTGGAGATCCTGCACACTTACCAGGTATGAGGCCTCAAGTTGTTCTTTTTTGTGGGTGTTGGTGGCATCACCCAAAATTCAGGTGCATCTGAGGCATTTTCTTGTCTGAATTCATGAAATTCCATAAAACTGATTAGCTTTTCTTTGTGCATCAATTTTTTTTAACTGTGATAAGTGTCCATAACATAAAATGTAACCATTTTAAGTCCAGTGGCATTCAGAACATTCATGATGTGCAGCCGTCCCCACCGTCCATCTGCAGAATTCTTTTCTTTTTGCAAAATAAACTCTGTTTCCTTTTAACAGTAACTCCCCATCCACTCTCCCCAGGCCCTGGCACCCCCTGTACTTCCAGCCTCTCTCTGAGGGTGACTCCCCTAGGGACCTCACATACCTGAGGTCATACAGTATTTGTCCTTCTGCATCTGGCTTGTTTCACTGGGCACAGAATGTCCTCCAAGTTCATCCCCGCTGTAGCAGGTGTTGGGATGTCCTTCTCTTTAAGGCTGAATGATACTCCTTTGCAGGGATTCACTGCATCTGGTTCATTCATTAATCCACTGATGGATGGTTAGGGCTGCCCCCACCTTTTGGCTCTAATGAATAATCCTGCTGTGAACGGGGGTGTGCAGATACCTGTTGGAGCTCTGTTTAGTCTTGATCTTAAATTGCTTCTTGAGGCACCTCTACCCCGAGGAAGTACTAGGAGACACACATTAGAGGGATTGAAAAAACCTAAGAAGACAGTCTTCTTTTTACAAGATGACTTTGCTGTTGTGTAGACGATGCACCTACCCTTTATTTATGCTGACTACCACTGGGCTCTGTGCCAGGCACTGGGGCCACAGAGATGGCTGCTGCTGCTCAGGAGTTCTGTCTAGAGGTGGAAGAGACTTAGAGAAGGATCTGGATGGAAAAAGAAAGGAAGTGTGTAGAAAAAGTATGTTGGGGTTATTAGCAGTTGCCAACCCATGGGGCGTCAGGGAGGGTATATTCGAGTTATATCTTGACAAATCTGCAAGAACCATCAGCTGTTGGGTAGATTCTCCCAGTGCTGGGGACAGCCTGCGCAAAGGCCCGGGGGCCAGCAGACAACCAGCTCTAGGGGACTGGATGGAAAATGTAGGCAGGCCCGTGGCCTGGGACATCCATGTTGTCAGACAAGGAGCTCAGACATGGAGCTGCCGCCACCTTTTCTTTTTCTAAGCAGCAAAACCCCACTTGTAAAAATGAAATCTGCACAACCTTGATAAGCAAAACAAAGAGTTGGGAGTCTTTTTAGCATACACATTTAACATCAGCTTGAAAGCATCTGCACCCTGTAAACACAGTGGTGCTATTTTGATTTAACAGATGTGTGTCATCTGTAGCGCTGGTGCCATGCATGGGCCTCGTGGACTCAAGTCAGCATTGAGAACTTCCTGCTTAAAGATGAGTGGTTGCCAAGTAGCAGCCATTAAACCTCAGGTCTGTGTGGAGGGATGATGTTTGTGGTCATGGAGTTTATGGAGCCTTCACAGGTTCCACAACGTTGTCACGTCCTAGCAGCTGGATGGATCACTGGAGAGAAGACTGGGACATGTCTGTCCTTTTGACAGGAATCTGGGGGCCAGAGAAGTTAGACTGACTTACTCAGGGTCATAGCGATGGGGCAGGTACAGCTCAGCGTCCTCCGGCCAGAGGGGCTGGGAATCAGGTGGAAATGCAGGTGCCTGGGCCTCACCCCAGAGTTGGGACCTGCCCGGCCTGGCCTGCCATTTGCATTTTTAATAAGCCCCGGGGGGATTCTGATCTTTGGTCATCCATTTCTTGAGAGCTTGTTTGGAGGTTCTCCCAGGGGAGCGCAGCTACTCGTATACCCTTGACCGAAGAACAGTCCTCCTCTATCGGGGAAGGTTGTCCTCTGCGACCGAGCACGGAGCTTCGGGAGGGACACACATGGAGCCATGAGGGAGGAAGGGGACACCCGCCTGGCCAGCCAGATCGGCCGAGTCAACCCTGGCAATCAGTGGGGTGACAGATGTCGCAGCCAGATCGCCCTCACATCCTGGTCATCCATTTCTTCAGAAGGAACTGGAAGTCTGAATTCTTGTGCAAATTATACTGATTTTAGAACATTGTCTTGGACTTTCTAAAAGATACCTTAGGGCCAGATCAAGCAGCTCCAGGTAAATCTGGCCGTATGCCCACTGTTTGTCAATCTCTGTTTGGCTCTGATTCAGACTCCAGTCCTGCTGTCCGCCCCTTTGGAGCCCTCTCCTCACCTCCCGGAACCTCAGGGTTCTGACCGTGAATTGGTCCTAAATGCAGGTAGTGCTGACCCCTGGGTCAAGTGCACACAACTGAGGTCATCAGTTCAAGCGTAGCTCTTTCCTCGGGTCAGCCGTGGGCAGCTGCTCCCCGTTTTCCAACTTGATACGTATGTCCTGTGTGGGCCTTTTTTGCCCTGACCTGGCATGTATACAGGCCCTAAAAGTGACAGTGCTCTGCACATGTGCACAGGGCTCCGAGGAAAACAGGGTCAAGGCACAGCACTCAACAACTGCGTTAGTGATGTGGAAAAAAAGAGGTAAGTTCTTGCTATAAACAGTGCCATTGTGCACACGCCAGGTAACTGAGCATGACTGTGACGACACATCCAGCTCTTGACCTTGGAAAAGATCTGAGGGGTGCACGTGGGTGTGGGCAGGTTGCAGCCTACAGGTCACTGTGGGGACCAGGACACTGCAGCCCCGGACAGGCCGGGCAAGATGGCTCCCAACAGCTGAAGGAGTACACGTGGGCTCGACATGGCAGGTGTATTCCCACATGCACAGTTTTCTGCTTTCGGGACAAATTCCTGCCCACGCAAACGCCAGGTCCATCCCCCACTCACATTGCTTCCCAGCATGTGTTCACACCCAAACTGATGTGCATGTTGAGAACAAGTGTTAGAGCAGAGCTGGCTACCTCTGCTGGAAAATACCCAGTGGGTACGTCCCTAAATCAGGGTGTGCACCCGTCATGGGGCCATAGATGGTGCCAAGTTACCTCGGCACCCACCTTCCTTTTCACCTGTGCCTGAGGGTGCCTGGTTCCCCACATCTGTGTTAGAAATCACTGGAATTACCAGGCCTTTTTATCCTTGTCAGTCTGATAAGCAGAAGATGCTTGGTGCTCTTTTAAATTGTATTTCTCTAAATATCACTCAGTTTGATCATCGCTTTCTGTATATATACAGATCATTTGTATTTATTCTCTGAATTGAGTGGTTTTTGCCTGTTTTCTTGTTGGCTTTCAAGTGTCCCTGAGATTCTGTGGGGCAGGTTTTTTCCCTCCTAAGTAGGTGTTGTATGGGGCACTGGCCTGGAGGGGCGGGGGGCTCCAAGGGTTTTTGGTGGGCTCTAGAATCCCTTCTGCAGCTTCAGGGTGGGCCTGACCTGCCAGGTGCTCCGGGAAAGCCCTGGCACTGCCGCCTCTCCTTCAGCCACGTTCTCGTGTGTGTAGCCGACAGAGCCACCTCGAGTCCTGCTTGCTGCTTCCCACTGTCCCGCCCGCTCCTCTCTTGTCCTCTTGTTGCTTGAAGCTCGGGTGAGGCCGGGTTCCTTCGGCCCTTGGATCTTGGCAATTCTGGGTAAACAGGTCCCTTGCCCTGGACGTCTACTCCCTTCCATCTTCACCCTCTTCCCTTGAGGCCCAGCGCTAGCTCTGTGCTCCCCTGCCCAGTGGAACATGCTCCCTTACCTTTGGGAGGGCCATGGGTTCGTTGCTGACCTTGTACTTTCCCATTCAGAGGCCACTCCAGAGCTAAGACCAGGCCCGTCCGTGACCATGTCCCTGTCCGAGTGCCCTCCACACTCCTGCACTGGGCCTCCTCCGTGGCAGTGCCTCTGCTGTGACTGGGGCTCAGACTGTGCTGTGGGCAGGGCCAAGACAAGCACCCAGGACTGTCCTCCAGAGCAAGGACCCAGCACAAAGCGCCCTGACTGGTGGCAGGACTGGGCTCTGCTGGCCAGTTCTCTGTCTCTGAGTCGCCCCCCATCTCTTCCATGGTGGGATGCCTGAACGTCACACACTGCGTGTCCTGTTCCTGGGCTGCTGACTCCTTTTCCCTCTCCCAGAAAGAGCAGCTGAGCACCAAGGGCCGGCCGTTCCGAGGCATGTCCGAAGAGGAGGTGTTCACCGAGGTGGCCAACCTCTTCCGCGGCCAGGAGGACCTGCTCTCTGAGTTTGGGCAGTTCCTGCCTGAAGCCAAGCGGTCCCTGGTGAGTACAGAGCACCCACCCTGGCTTGGGGGCTGCCTTCTCAGCCAGGACCCTTTGCCTCAGTGCGGTCCCCATGGTCATGCCAGGCTTGCCTGCCCCCTAGGATGGGCTGGGTCCCCCCAGGAGCCACATGTGGTGCAGGCTCCAGTCCATGTCAAGCTGGAACAGATCCTGAAGAGAGAGTGTCTGTGCAGACAGTGTCTGGGGGGTGAGGACTGGTTTGGGAGGTGGAATGAATCCTCTGTCGGAGACCTGCCTGTAACCAGGGCCCTGTGGGTGGGTGCAGGTGAGGCTCAGGCCCATCACCTCACCCCCTCTGGAGGGACCAGGTGGGAGTGGGCTGAGGCTTGGCATGCCTGGCAGCAGGGTGGGGGACAGAGAGCAAGGGAGGGGCCTGGGGCAGGGAATTGGGGGCACAGCCTGCACCATTAGCCTTTCTTCGCCTACTCTGCCTTGAGGCCTGCCAAGCTCCTTATTTCTTTTTCTCTACTTTTCCATGAACATAAGGCTTAAAAAGTTGAAGTAAAATTTACTTAACAAAAAATTCACCATTTAAAAGTGTATGGTTCAGTGGCATTAGGTACATACACGGCGTTGTGCAACTACACCAGTTCCAGTTAGATTTCAGAACGTTCCTATCACCCCAAGAGGAAACCTGTGCCTATCAGCTGTCCCCCGCCCAGCCCCTGGCAACCACTGATCTGCTTTCTCTCTCCGTGGATGTGCCTGTTCTGGGCATTCATATACATGGGATGACACGACACGCAGCCTTCTGTGTCTGGCTTCTCGCAGTCAGCGTGATGGTTTCGAGGTCAGTCCACACTGTCATGGGTGTCAGGGCTCTGTTCCTTTTTATGGCTGAGTCATATTCCATCGTGTGGATGGACCATGTTGTGTTTATCCGTTCACAGTTAATAGATGGGCATTTGGGTTATTTCTGCTTTTTGGTGATTGTGATTAGTGCTGCTGTGAACATTTATGTGCAAGGATTGGTTTGAACATCAGTTTTCAGTTCTTTTGGGTCCATACCTAGGAGTGAAATTGCTGGGTCATCTAGAAATGCCATTTAACTTTTTGAAGAACTACCAAACTTTTCCACAGGGACTGCACCATGTTATAGTCTCAACTAGCAACATATTAGGGATTCATTTCAGTGTTTCCACATGCTTACCCACACTTGGTATTTTCCCTTTTTTTTATTTTAATTCTAGCCATCCTAGTGTGTGTGTGTGCTTTTGATTGGTATTTCCCTGATGACTTATAATACTGAACATCTTTTCATGTGCTTATTGAGCATTTGTATGTCTTTGAAGAAATGTCTCTTCAAGTCCTTTGACCATATTTTTACTTTGTCTTTTTGTTGTAGTTGTCAGAGTTCTTTATATATTCTGGACATGAGGCCCTTGTTAAGTATTTTCCTCCAGTCTGTAGGTTGTCTTTCACTTCCTTGTTACTGTATTTTCTTGTTATTTCTTATTACTATATTTGCTTGTTACTGATGCACATGAGTTTTAAACTTTGATCCCCTTACCTGTTTTTTTCTCTTGTTGCTCATGCTTTGAATCAAATCTCAGGAACCATTGCCAGATCGGAGGGCATGAAGGCTTTTTATACTTTAGCTTTTATGTTTAGGTCGCTGATCCAATGGAGTTCATTCTTCTGTGTGGTGTGAGGTAAGGTCCAACTTCATTTATTTGTATCCAGCTGTCCCGGCACCGTTTGAACAGACTTGTTCCCATTGAGGTTCTTGGGACATCCTTGTTGAAAATCAGTTGGCGTACACGTGTGGGTTTATTTCTGGGCTCTCAGTTCTAATCCATTGATCTGTGTGTCTGTCCTTAGCCAGTACTACACTGTCTTGATTAACTTTGTATTAGGTCTGAAATCAGGGAGCATGAGCCCTCCAACTTTGTTCTTCTTTTTCGAGATTATTTTGGCTCTTCAGGCCCCCTTGCTCTTCCATGTAAATTTGAAGATTAGCTTTTTCATTTCTGCAAAAAAGGCCCCTGGGATTGTGATAGGGAGTGCGGTGACCTTCAGCCTTGGGTACTGTTGCCATCTTCATGATATTCAGTCTTCCAATCCAGGGAACACAGGCTCTTTCCATTTATTCAAATGTTTAATTTCAGAGGCACTTTATTATAGTTTTTGGTTGTGTACATCTTGCACCTCCTCAGTTATAAATTTATTCCCAAGCATTGTTTTCTTTTTGATGGTGTCAGGAACAGAATTGTTTTCATGATTGCACTTTTGGATCGTTCATTGTGAGTGTCTAGAAGTAGCACTGATTTTTGTCTGTTGATTTTGTGTCCTACCACTCTGCTGAACCTATTAGCTTTAATAATTGTGGATTTGTTAGGAATTTCTATGTAGGAGGTCATTCCGTCTGCTGATACAGTGTTCCTTCTTCCTTCCATTTTGGATGCCCTGTGTTTTGTCTTCTTGCCTGGTTGCTGTGGCAGAACTACCAGCACTATGTGGAATAGAAGTGGTGAGAGAGTGGTATCCTTATCTTTTTGCTAATCTTTGTCACTTTTGAGTGTGCTGCAAGCTCTGATTTTTTTTACAAATACCTGTATGGGATTGAAGAAGTGTCCTTCTCTTCCTAGTTTGTTGAGCCTTCCATTTTCTTTTTTTATTTTAATTTTAATTTTAATTTAATCAAATGTACATCACAGTGGTACAGCAGTCACCCACCCCCTCCCCCAGCTCCCACCTACTCCCCTCTCCCTTGGTAACCGCTAGTCACTTCTCAGTGTCTATGCGACTAATGCTGTTTTGTTCCTTCTGTTTTGCTTTGTTTTTATATTCCACAAATAAGTGAAATCATGGTATTTGTCTTTTCTCCACCTGGTTTGTTAAACTGAGCATAATACCCTCTGGATTCATCTATGTTGTTGCAAATGGCAGGATTTCCTTTTTTATGGCTGAATAATATTCCATTGTGTATATGTATCATGTCTTCTTTATCCATTCATCTACTGATGGACACTTAGGTTGCTTGCATATCTTGGCTGTTGTAAATAGTGCAGCGATAAACATAGGGGTGCCTATGTCTCTATCTCTGACTTCCAGCCTGCTTCTTCAGGCCACCCTGGCCTGTGAGTGAGGCAGGGGGTGTTCCTAACTCTCTCTTAACTTCATCAGTTTCATGGAACCTGATGCACACCACTGCAAAATAGGAGATCCATGCTTTGCTCTGATTCCTGACTAAATGCTGAGTGCTGTGCTCTTTATCTCATAAAATGTGTCTGAGCACCTGTTAGCCACTTAAAAGACGATTAGCGTCAGCTACCAGTCTTAAGTCTCTGATAGAAAGGCTTGGCCCCTGTGAGAAGTATACAATATTGTAAGGTTATGCAGCTAAATTTATTTTAATGCAAGGAAAGAAAATAGTCAAAAGTCCTGGGAACTACTACAATATGGAACTAGTTTTCTAAATTATTTTGGTGGAAATCTATTCTTATGGGGCTCATCATTGTCTTAAAAAATTGGGAGGTTTTTAAACTAGACTCCCTGAAACAGAAGAAAGTTATCTTCTGCAATACAGCCTGGCTTTGAATAACTGGTGCTAGAATTATACTTGCGTTTCATTTCCAGCCCCCTGGACACACACAGTCCCTATCGGTACAGAGCCTTCGTTGGCCCTGTTTGTCTGGGGCCATCTGAACCTTAACCCAGTTATGTAAACTGCTCGCCCTTAGAATGTGTTCTTGAAAACTGAGATACTTTTAATCAAATAAGCTAGTAAGAAAGAAGGCAATTGAATATTAGTAACTCGAATCTTTGTATCAGTTTATCTGTCTGTGTATATGTTGGTATTCTACAAGAATTTGCGTCATAGAAATAACCAATCTTCTCACATTTTTCTTCTCTTTTCTACTTCCATAACTTTTCTTCCCTCTTCCTGAATACGACCCTTTTTCTAGAGTTTGTGTCTCATACATAGAATTGTAGTGCATCAGAGGCTTTCCAGCTAATGAAGATACCTCAAGACAAGTGCCGGGCATAGTAGCCATGAAGCATAAATCTTCAAAAAGGCAGAAAGCTAACCTTTTCAAGAATACTACCTTTCTCTCACTTACCAACTTTACATCTCCCTGTGTAGCCCCAGAAGATGGCTGGTTAGCCAGAGACGGGTAAGATTCCTCAAGGGAGGAACAACCTAAGACAGGCACAGTTGCAGGGGGGCCATCAGGTGAGAAATTGGGGGTCAACAGAGGTGAGGCTTAGAACCTCATCCCCCCCCCCAGTTTTGAGAGAAAGCTTCTGCACCCATGGCTCTTTAGTTGCCATTGCCCAGCTCAGATCAAAATCCAGTCTATAGGCATAGACCTGATCACCTGCAATTACCCTCTGTTTGCACTAAATCTGTTTTCTGTCTTTATTTCACATCACATAAATTCAAGAAGCAGACTTTTATTTCATACTACAGATTTTGGAGAAGTAAACTATGTTAAAATCCTTCTGTTAGAAACTACTTGCTATATTTTTTTATTATATCTATCTACTACTTAAAAGGGGGAAATGTGGGATTAATGGGATTAATACATAAATCAAGTAATACAGAAATCAAATGTACAAATAAATATGACTTGATTGTTTTTCCTACAACTCTTGATGCGTGATCAAAAACAGAATGATTAAAGCCAAAGCAGTTCCTACAACTCATGACCACCCTCACATGGTTTCGGTGTCCTTGAGGAGCATCTTGCCCTAGGGCTAGACTCAAGGTCGGATAATGATTGTGTGTTGACCATGTGTTGAACCCCCTACTCAGAATTCTTGAAATGTTTAAGTTCATTTGCTCAGTAAGTACGAGAAGTGCCTTTTTGGCATTATTCTTGTGCTGTGGTGCCTTGAGTGCCCTGGCTGGCCCTTCAGATCCTCAGCATTCCGTCGCGTTCCCTCCAAATCTGCAGGTCAAAGGCAGGGGGTAGTTGACACCCTCTATACCCATTTTGTTGAGAGTTTTCATCTTGAATGGATATTGAATTTTG